GGAAGAAGGAAAACCAGGACATGAGAAACCCTTTCACTCCCGCCCTCCTCGAGGCTGAGCTTTGCAGCATTGGACACATTCGTCAATCACGCTCTGCTGAATGCTGTCCTATAAATACATTACGTCTATTTCTTTAATATTTTGTCAAAGCACAGAGCAGTGCCCACCTGACAAGAATCAATAGGAAAAATCCTTTTCTCTCTTTGACACAGCATGATGCCATTAAGCAGCCTTCAGAGATTCTGATCTGAGCAGCAAAGTCAGACCTTCCTGATCAATTCCTTAATCCATTTTGAGAAAAGAGACTGATCTTGCTTCTTCGATTTCTGTCCAGGAAACAATCATCATTCCCAACATAATTCACCGTTAAATGGGCCTTGTCTTACGAGAACTTCAGCAGCTGGAAGCAGATGAGGAGCAAGCCAGGATCCAGGAGAATCACCATGACATCTAACGGGCTTCCTCTGGCTTTCCATTTCTACCTTGGAAGTCACTGAAAGCATTTCCCAGCCTCGTCCTTCATGGATCTTTAAAAATGTTGCTTTTAACATTATAAATAATGCATACATTGGCACCGAAAATCGAAATGATTCCAAGAACTTTTTCCTCCAGAAAAATCTTCAGTTCTCCAAGTGGCTGCTAGGGCTGCCACAATGCAAACTGGGAACAAACCAACACGAAGCTCAAGTACTGATGCCATAAAAAAGCATGGCTGGAGATAACACACTCTCAGTGTTGGTGGGTCCTTCTGCCAAGCTGAAGATGTTTTATGCCAAGACCAGATCATAACAGAGATGAGCTGTTAAGAGCCTACAAACCTGTTACATTAAAAAATCTCTGACCAAAACCAGCTGGGAGAAGCCCAGCAGACCGGCTCAAGCAGGAGACTTGGGTTGGGCAGTCTCCTCCACAGGTAGGCCTGAGAATGTTCGCGCTTCAGCAAGAAGTTCCTCTAACAAAGTGGTTTTAAAGGAGAGAAATGAGCCCTGCTCGCACCCCTGGCAGCACCCAACCAACCTACCTCGAGCAGCTGCCCCACCAGCCCCAGGTTGCCCTGTATCCCAATGGAAGGTTGCATCGCAGCTGGCACCACCTGAGATCCATGCATGCATGCATGCAACCCCTTCCAGCTTCCTAAGCTCGTGCAAACATGTCCAAACCTACTACAGGTTTGGCTTTTTAAAAAAGCAGAAGGTGATCTTCAACCATGCAAATACTAGTTTTAGTAAATTCATTACAGAATTTCATTACCAAAAACTGTCATATTTCATCTGTATGTACGTACTATAACATGAAATAACAAAGAAAATGTTTGCTGGATTTTTTTCCCCAGTTGCCTGTTGTTTGCTTGCTCAGAAGAAGCAGAGCATGCTGTGTTTGTTTTGTTTTACTTAAATAATTGCTGGGGACTCCTCTGCTTTAGTTCCACGATAGCAAGGCCCTGGCTATACGGTTAGGTGATTACTGTATCTCTGCAGTTCAGTATCTGCAGGGTGTCTGAATGCCACTAACTACTTAAACCCAGTAAAGAGATTACAGCTCACGCTAACTGGATTTTCACAGCTCCGTATCATTCAGTTCGGATTCCTCATACACAGATTAAGAGAGTCCATTAAAACAACAGTCAGCTGCTCCCAAAGTGCAAGGTGCCTTGATATAAAAAGAGCCACATGTTTACATTCAGGGAGAATGTGAGTGTGTGTGTAAATGAAATAATCTTTCAGAAATAATTCTCTATTGAGGAATTATTCAATTTTCAAACCCAAGATAATGCAAATTATATAGTTATAAAAGGACAATCATGGTGGCTGGCAGTTTCAGAGACTACATAGTTTTGAAAACAGCTTAAAGTAATGTGTGTCTTTGAAGATATAGCCTTCAAACGGATTCCAAAATCTACTTCTGTAAATACAAGGAACAGGCATGCCCTCATCGTACATGAATTGGGCAGGGAAGCTAATTCAACAAGCATCTCTAACTGATAGAGCTATGAAGCTAGAACACAAAACCTACACTTTTGTACTTCCTACCACTACTAAGTTGATTTTCTTCTTTAAAAGTGTTTCGAAGCGCAGAAGTAACACAGCTTCACTTCACAGCAGGTCTTTTTGTGGTTCATGTAGGTATCCGGGCCACCAGACAAGGCAGGGGGGTTTTCCACATTTCTAAATTTAATTCTAATTGGAAAATAGTAAAGAGGAAGGACAGGGCCCATCAATTCAAAGCGCACATAACAAATTTCACTCAGTGAATGCTTACTTCTTCCCAAGCACTTGCATTAAAAACAAAAGTACCACATTGTTGCTTACAGTCTAGTCAGAGATAATTAACAGAATTGACACAAACCAAAGAGTTACTGTGGGTAAAAGCTATTTGCTTTCTGGACCTGGATGTTCAGTGACATCCGTGCAACTGTGCCCACAGCTCACACGTGTGCCCCCTGCCTGGAGTCCATGCAGCATTTTAGAGTTTGTTAGCAAAACGCAAAGAAACACCATATGCTGCTGCCCCAGTATTGCAGCCACTAAATAAATGAGCATCCTTTTCAGATATAAAAGGGGACTTTTTAGCAATCAAAAAGAAAAACAACTCAGCCACAGCCCAAATGACAATAGCAACAAATCCAGGTCAAAGGCGAGTGACCCCAGAACCACTCCAGGCATATGGGCAGCTCTTTTCTTTTCAGGGGGAAACATTCACTCTGCTTCCCATTAGCTTTTGCCCGGCTTCCTGTTGTCCTCACTTGGCCTCTCAGTTCCTCCTAAGCTCCAACAAGTGCACACCTTCTGCCAGCAAACCCAACTCAAGTGCTTCTCAAGGCTCTGCAGGTCTGCAGGCACCACCTGCACCATGCCCTGCAGCAGCTGGGTGGGAACGAAGGCAAATCACTTAATTCCTTCCAGTATAACACCATACCTCTGAGAGGGCAAGTAATGAAACCTGCATGAGTAAAACTGATGTCAAGGTACCACCATGTTTACCTGGGAAGCAATGATACCTTCAGTGAGCTGTGCATTTGGAGCCCCGGAACATCTCCAGCACGAGGATGAGGAGGAATAGGCCTCCTGACACAATCTTGCACTGACTTCAAAGATTCTGGACAAGGTTTTGGCTTAAAAATAATCCTTACTTGTTATATTTTGAATCAAACTTACAAGTGAGCTATTTGTCCTTCAAACTTCAACTGCAAAGCAAACATCACTGCACAATACAAGCTTCAGAAGCTTCTTCAAAATAAGGACTAAAAGACAGCCCAAATAGTTAACAATAACTGATGAATTAAGACTGAGCACAGTGCAAATTAAACAAATGTTGTAGCACCCTGAACATCAATTTATATTTGTACATTTCTGCTACTTAATAAATGTATCTTGTCATGTGAAATTTTAAAGAAAAGGCCTTGGAGTGACAAAATCAGTCTCAGTGTGACAAAATCCCATTTGTAAGTGAATAGAGATGATTGAACACAAATACCTTAGGCCAACAACTACAGAGATTATGTTTTGGAAGCAGCATGTGCATAATTGGATCAGATAAACAGGAACACTTTGCAGATTTTGAGAGCCACCTCTTGTTGCAGCAGAGGGTATGGGAAGCGATAAGCTACCAGTGGCCCTTTGCATTGTCTGGCCTATTAACATAAATGCTGCACCCAGAGGAATTGGACCTGAATTGAGGCTGGGTAATTGCTGGATGTGTTAAACCCAAAGAAGTCGCAGGATCGTTTTTCCCTACTTACATCATACACTGTAAAAGTGAAACGCGAATCAGGACTATCTTCCAAAAGCTGAATGTTGTGGGCGTATGTATTTAATGTGAATCTTACAGACAGAAAGTGATCACTCACCAATTAACGGAAATAGAAGCAGGCAGTGAATGTACAAGCTGTCCACTCACCAGCTTTCCATTGGCAAGACTGGAAAGACAGATTTAAAATAGAAGTGCTCCAAACCACAAATACATCATGGGAAGAACGAAATATTCCTTAATGCAAACAAACAACAGCGTTTTACTCTAAGGCAGTACATTATTGGTTAAATATACCATCTTATCTTCCCATTTTTGCAAAAAAACAAAAAAAAAGATTTATAATGTAAAGATTACCTAATAACTGCCAGCTTTTTCAACAACTGGTCTCAAATGCAAGAATTCACACTACAAATGGATCCATCCCAAACCTTCGTTTGTTAGAAAAGCATTTGCTTAGCAAATGACAACCCATTCCATTGTGACAGAAACATAACAAACAGTTGTTAAAACCAAGCAGAGTGAAAATGAAAAATAAATAAAGCATTCTCGCTTACTGTCAAAGCAACATTTCCCAGAGCAAACTCCAACTTCCAGCTGCATCTCCTTGCTTTTTAACAGCAGCGCCTCGCTGTTCCTCGGCACGCTGAGGGGATCTCTCCTCCCAATCAAACATTTACCCTTCGCCACTGGTGAAAGGCAACAAGATCTCTTTACAATGTCTCGCCTTTTTCAATAAATTTTGCATGAAAACATGTTACCCAAGCACAAAGTTGCCTGCTGTCACGTTGGAAGTATGATAAATGTTTAATGAAAACAACACCACACAGCTTGGTGTCAGACAACAGCTATCACACAGCCCCGCTTTGATCTGAACAGACACTTAAAAGGAGTTCTGAGCGTGCTTTGCACCACAGAACTCCATAACCTATATGCAAATAGGAGAAAATTACCATAAATGACTTCCTGCCGTACCGTGTGTGAAGAGGTGAGGAAAACATGGCAAGCTCCATGAGCATCTCAACACCGCCAAGCTCTGCGATACCCAACGTTCCTCACTTGCTCCTGACACCTCCTGCCAAGCCCTGCCAAGCTCAGCCCTGTGCCAGTGCTCCGGGCCACAGCCAGCAGGGAGCATGAGAAGGAAGCCCCACAAGCACTGCTGAAGTACTGAGGGCACACAGCCATCACAGAGCATCCCGAGCGGGAAGGGATCCATAGGATCTCTGAGTCCATCTCAGCCAATGCCAGGATCTGCAGCTCTCCATTCCAGGGGAGCGGTGCATTTAAGACACGAATCTTCAGCTCCATAATGCTTCTCTGGGTAGTTAAGCAGTCGTCAGCCCATTAATGCAAAAACGTATCGATAGTCTAATAAGGAGCAGAAATTAAACGGGTGGTCGGCTTTGATTAATGGCACAACACTTCTTTTTTCATAACAACTGAAAAGCTGCTCTTAATTTATTCCATTAAAAATTGTCAAAAACACTTTAGAAAGTAATTCAGAATTCTCCTGCTGAGAAAGCTAAGGTGAAACCAATAAATCTAGCACAAGTTATTTGGAGCTAACAAGTTTCTTGTCCTCCAGTCCAACAATGAACAATGATCCTTATGAAAACCACACCTCAATCCCTTAAGAACTTAAGTGTTCTTAACCCAATGAAGACTTGAAACACCAAAATTCAACAGTGTGCTCACACAAGACACTGAAAGCATGAATGCAAGTTGCTTCAAAAAAAGTGAATCTAAAAAAAAAAGCAGAAGAGATGAACGTAATGATTTAATTAGCAAAGCTGGTGGCAAGGCACCACAGCAGTAGAAACACACATTTAAGCAAAGCACAACTATAAAAGAGCTTAAGACATCATTGGATTACCAGCATGCAAAAGTAGCTGGGGTGAGTCATGGTTACATTCAGAAAAATGCCAGTTTACCTTCACTTGAACTGATCTTCATGAGAGAAGTTGGAAAAAGACAGGTCCAAGGAGCACAAGCAGGAGGAAGCCAGCTGTCAAAGCAGCCACAAGAGGTTCACAGACTGCTGAAGCTGGAGCACCTCTGGGTCTGCTTGGGAAATCCAGGCTGTAGCCAGGCCTGTTTCAATCCTAGACCAGGAATAGCCTATTTGTTACAGGGCTACTAAAAATTTCCTACATTTAATACTTCTTCAGTAAGGATACACATTAGGAACAGTTACATAACTGGTATATTTAACATACCCAAGAAAAAAGAAACCTCATTGCACAAATAAGACCAAAATTTTCCTGGTTAAGTAAGCCACCCTGCAACACTTAGGAAAACGTTACAGCCTACAGTGCATTTTTAAAAGGTCACTAATGTCCACAAGTCAGGACATAGTCTAGCTAACACTGTGTTAGGAACTGAAAAACCACGGAATAAAGAGCAAAGCTTCCAAACTGGAGCACTGGATTAAGCTTTGAAGCTTCAGAAATACGGGGGGGTGGGGGGGGGGGGGGAGGTGGGATACAAAGCCCATTGAAATTAGTGAGAAATCAGAGAGAGAATGCTATTTGGAGGGGAAGAGAGGGGATAGAAAGGGTTGCTCTATTTCTTCGGAGTAAATAACCACTGCTTCTCCATTAAATATTATTATTTCTTAAAACAAGTGACAAGTTATAATGCAGTAATGCTATAATGTGATGGAAAGTACAGCCATAGCAGCAGACTGGCACAACTCTAGGCTGCAGCAAGTGAGAACAAGCCCCAGTGCAGCTGCTGTGGGCGCAGAAACCAAGGAAGAAAATCTTCCTACCTTTGGAAGGCCTCAGGCAGGCAGGGATCTCCAGCAAGATACCTCTGCCTCCACTGCCAACCCTTAAATGAGGTCTTGGAAGGGTTGGATCCTGGCTCTATGCCTTCCAGTCACTCAGGCACATTGCATGCACCTGAAATCCTCTGGGCTGGCCCTGCCTTCCCAACAGGTGCTCAATCACTGCTTCAAGACACAACTTAGCATTTCTGCTAAACAAGTGGAGGAAAACAGTGAAACAAAATGCGAGCCAGGTGCAGGATCAGTGAGGATGTACCTCATAGGCATGTATGCAAAAACCCATTTTGGAACCAACTGGTCGCCTGCTTCAGTCTTACCCAGGAGAACGTCAGGTTATAGGCACTGAGTACAACATACATATCACATTTTATGTCAGATGAGGTTTGCTGAGATTGTTTTGTTTTAGGAAAAGGGCACACGAGTCTAGGCATACCTGGAGACACCAGCAGAATGGATCAGAGTGCTAAGGTCTGAACCACTCCCAGCTACAGTCTTCTGGGAGCTCAGGTAACACTGGTGGTGTTGGCTCATTCCTTTGACACACAGACACTGGTTTCCCACTCTTTATTCAGTAATTACATATATTACATATATACATATGTATGTATATAGAAAGACAGATACACAGGGCAGCCAAGTGTAGGATCTGATCAACAACCTCGATAGAACAAAGAACACTAAAGTCTTGGGTTTGTTTGTTTTCATAAAAGTAAAATTTAATAAAAGAAACCCAGTGGATTAGAACTTACTGGTAAGTACTGGGCACCAGATGTCCAGTCTGCATCACAAAGTTTTGCAGAGCTAACAGAAAATGATGACCTGATTTAATCAGTTCCATTTTATTTATAACATCATAACACGCAGAAGAGGCGCTGGGTTCTGTAAAATACAAAGGTGAGGGAACACCTCAGAACAGCACTTGTCACTGAAACTTCAGTGAGACCAGGAGAGCCACCAAGGCCTGTGTTAAGCACAAAGCACTGGCAGAGTTCTAGAATGCAGGAATGGCCCAGAGCAATAACGTGCATGATATCACTACTGCAGTCATGGGTTGTAACTAGAGAACAACATCGTTATTTCAAACAGAGAAATATGATTTGAAACTTGGCCTATGAGACTGGATGAATAGAAAAGGCTGCAAGGCCAAGCCAGTGCTTTTGCTTCAGAAATGCTGGCAATGGTTACTCAGCAAAAGCCACACCATTTCTCGGTTTCTTTAATATTTTTCCAGGCAAAAGGAATACAGCTCAAACTACTATGGGATTAGGAGACAAAAGCAGACTGATTAGTTCAGAATACGTGAAAATGGAAGGAAAATGAACAGCGTAGCAGCAGTCAGATGGCTGAACATTTGAGAACATTTCTTGCTGCCTGTTTATCTCCAGCTTTATTTTACAAAGTCCTCACTGGAAATTAAATAATCCTGATGGAAAGATGGATCATCTTGCTGTTTATGAATATTTAGGGTATGTTGGTGGAACACTTTCTGAATATGCACTGCTTATAACTTGTAAGAGAGCACAAAATTATTTCCAAGCGTGATACACCTCTCTCAACCCCATCACTTTTTGTTTTTAGCCAAGTACTGTCTGATGCTGCACATGAGCTTCCCAACCTAAACTCAAAGCAGCTGTTACCACAATCTCTCCACAACGGCTGAACAAATAGCATATCCATTAAAACATTTCAGACTGTAAGAACAAAAGAGTTCAGATGGTTTGCTCTGAAGGTAACAAAGCTGAACTCCAAAAAATAGCTGACACTCACGCAGCATGCACAAAGTTCAGTGCTCACCCTTATTTACTGAGTGCCCATTGAAACAGAGCACTGGAGGGACAACAACTGGTTTACAGTGGCAGATTCTCTTCTGCTCTGGAAATCTGCCCAGATCTTTCCTGTGAAGACAAGACTCGCTTTGGAAAAACCTAAGGTTGCCCTGATTTAAAAATAAAAGCCACAAGCCCTTCCCCTCCCATGCCTACAAACCTATACAATAAAGTGCTGAAAACAAGGTTATAATTAGCATTTACACGAGCCATGAACAAAGAAGAACATTTTCTCCATAATTAGTGCAAAACCGACATTTTGACCCTCTACTTTAGAGAAACAATCAAGTCTCAAATATATGGCTGCTTATACTGGGTAATGTAGTGTCGAGAAGCCCAAGAACAAAGGAAAAAAACTCAATTTTGTGATTTCATCTCACGTATAAGGTAAGAAAGCACACAGCATAGTGACAGAGACACGTGCAAACATCCCAGTGTCCACAGGACGTGAAAGTACAGGGGCTACTGGAGGGGGAACAGCTGTTCATAAGGGTGGATAGTGATAGGACAAGGGGGAATGGTTTTAAGCTGAGACAGGGGAGGTTTAGGTTGGATATGAGGAGGAAGTTTTACACACAGAGGGTGGTGAGGCACTGGCACAGGTTGCCCAAGGAGGCTGTGGGTGCCCCATCCCTGCAGGCATTCAAGGCCAAGCTGGATGTGGCTCTGGGCAGCCTGGGCTGCTGGTTGGCGACCTGCACACAGCAGGGGTTGGAACTGGATGAGCGCTGTGGTCTTTTTCAACCCAGGCCATTCTAGGATACTTCCTGAAACCAGGTTTCTTCAATCACACCAAGTACCTTCAAAAACATTCAGATGTAAAAGACCTTCATAATATTTAAAGCAGCTATTTTTCCAGTCAATACATTCCAAACACACATGAATTTAAATTGGAAACTATATCTGGTTCCTTTACATGGAGTACCTGCAGGAATCTATCCCAAATACAGAGGCCTATTTTTCCCCCTCTAAAAAGAGTCCCCAGCTGCTGGAGTTTCTAGAAAAGCCCAAGTGAGCAGTCTTACAGAGCAGAATGCTGTACTGTTTGCTTGTCTGCCCCAGCAACGTGTCAGCAGGGCGAGCAGGGAGCTCCCAGGCCAGGCAGCCAGGTGTGGTGCTGCAGGGAGCAGCAGCAGTCGCAGGACCTGGTAAGACAGCCCCAGAGGAGAGCTATATTAAGAGTCCTAATTCTAGCCATACCCATAAGGGGACATCTGACACCATTCCAAGACAAAAAACCTTGAATTATAACATATGCCCACAAAACAAAACAAAAGAAAACACAGAGGAAAGCCAACTCACTGCCTTTAGCTAACTAGAGCCAACTGTGGGACAGGTGAGCTTCCCTGGAAGCTCATCTCCTTCCTGCACTTTTCAGCCACATAGAAAATAACCACATGAATAAATGAGAAAGAAGAAGAAATCTCAGAGCTTGGGAAGCTTGAGAAAGTCTCCTACAAAAACAGAACTGTAATATTTCTGCAGTAACTGTAAATAGCAATTGACTCACAGAGCTCTGCGTTCTCTGTTTCTAAATATGTTGCTTTGCAAAACCTTTCAATGGGATGCTGATACCAACTAAATCTTCAGAACGACAAATAAGGGAAAAAGCTCCTCAGATCCATATTGTCTGGATAGATACACTTTGATCACTATTTGATTCAATTGATACACACACCCCTTCCTCTCACCCCACCCCCAAAAAGTTTATGAAGTATAGATCACATCAATATCATCCTGGGTACATTTCAGCTTGTAGCCTAACAATGCTCTGAGCAAGAAAACCCAATACAAAGCCCACTGGTCTGTCCCTGGACTCAGAGGAAGATGGTCTGATGTCATATAATGTTGCTATCATCAGCTCGTACTCTGTGTCTAACTACCCTGGACACATCCCAAACAAGGCATTTTGTATTCAAATGTAGCGTAAGCAATTTTCTAAGTTATCAAAACACAAAGGTAAATTGTTTGCTTCCAACAAAATCGAGGCACTTCTGAGTTCTTCCTACTGTTATCTGATATTGATCCTTGCAATAAAAGGACCAAGTCGGGCAGTATGTTAATAAAGCTCTGCAATATACTGCAGCATGATTTAAGACGTGCTTCCACATAAAGTCCAGAAACCTCTCACACACCAAATGTATTTGTGCTCAGTATGGATTCCTTCTCCGTTCAGAGCCCTAGAACCTGCTTCATTAAAAAGCAATTTTGGATGCAACATGCAGGCCTCTCTTCAAGTCCTCCAGAAGCACCAAACACATTCAGACTCCAGGTAAACAGGTAACACTGTAAGTATCTCAGAGGCTTCAAGACACGCTGAATCCTACTGACTGCTGACAATAACTGCAACAGTGACTGACGGATGACAAAATCACAGAGGGGTTTGGGTCAGAAGGGACCTGAAATCCCCCCAGCCCCACTCCTCCCATGGGCAGGGACACCCCCACAGCCCCAGTCCCCAGCACTGCAGCAACAGGGCACCCCGCAGTGGCAGCAGTGCCAGGGCATCACTGCCTCAGAGTGAATATCCCCACGTGGTGCAGTAAAATTAGGAAAGCAACCCTTGAAATGCATGGAAGACACCATCTTTGAAGTTCCCAGCAGTGTATGTGCTATAAATAAGAATAAAAATGTGCAAATAACTAATTTACATGAATACTTATATATAAACAATAATATAACCCTGAGCAAGCAGAAATTATATGTGAGGGACTAAGTAACCAGCATTGCCACGCTGTAAAACCAAGCAGATAAATGCAAGCTGTCTCCATGAATGCTGGCAGAAGGTGCTGTTGTAGAAATTCCCTTTTACTGCTAGTGGGAAAGCACCAAAGAGAGATTCAAGAAGGAGGTTCAATATAGCAGCCTTCCATCTTAAAGGCAATCGCATAAATAGAGAAAAAGATAAACATTCCACTAAAAGTTGTAGGAGATTGAGATGTATAACACAGAGGTAATTACATAAACTGCCTTCTCTGAAATCTGAGAAAACAAGATTAACAATCTAAGTCATTTCAAGTGAAAATTATGTTGACAGCATGTTTTGAAAGGCAGTCCATCATTCAACCATAGCAAGTATATACACTGAAACTACACTTGGAGCTACAAATGAAGCCCAACAGAAATTTCTGTCAACACACAAGTGTCTGGGGGGGTTGGGAGGGGGGGAACCCACCATGCAGTGAAAAGCACTTTCTTATAGGAAATAATCATCATACTCCAGTACTCTCCATTTTTTAAACTTACGATTAGAATGCATAGAAAAGGAGTTATAGTAATCTATCGAAGAAAAGCTATTCAGCTTATTTGCAAAGCAAGGGAAGAAAGAATTGTAAATTGAACTGTTATTTTGTTCAAAGCAATGCCACATGCCAGAATTTCAAAATACTAAGAATTATACGTTTCAAAGACTTTCCAACAATTTCCATTATTTTTATGTAAGTAGCAAATATTTTACAAAATAAACTGAGGAAGACGGCACAAACCATTCCCTGCTGTTATCAGGGCTGCATTGTTTGTCATCTCACTTACCCCAGCTTCGTGCCACACATCTCCTTCTCTTTGCCTTTGCCTTTCTCTTTCACTTTTTCTTTCTCTCTGCCTTTACGCCGCTCTCTTTCACGAGACCCACTGTGAGTCCTCCTGTGACTGGATCTTTCACTGCTCCGACTATAGGAACGCTGTCGAGGTCTTGAGCGCGATCTGCACAAAATCCACAATATCAAAATTTAGCAATCGCACATTTTTGGGACTCTCTACACATTAGATTTGTTATCTTGTCCAACTATTTGGAACACACATTCAAATCATTTAGTGATATAGATCCTTAAGTAAAACCCTGCCAAGTTCTCAAAAGTGAGCAAGAAAGTGTTGTTTCTACTCTAAAGGAAGAATGTGAAATAAATTAAACCACAATAGACAGTGCTAATGCAAGAACAAAGCAATTAGGTCTTAACAATGCAGTCTTGAGGGCTGTTGGAGAAAGAAAGGATGAAAAACAGTGAATTTTTACACAATAATCAACTTATCTTAGCAAATAATCAAAGAAGTTAGGGATGCTACTAAGTTCCTGTACTTACATATTAAGTAGTTCATTACTAATACCAATGTTCCAACAAAAGCAAAAACAGGAGTGGCATTTACAGTTCCCTGGCTTTAGCCTTCTGCTGACACGTACATAGTTTTTAATATCAAATCTCAGTCTGAAACACATTCTGCAGAGCACCTATGCATAGGCCAACCCTACAGGTCCAGTACAGCAGGGAAGTGCATACAGGTGCAGGGGTTTGTGCTCACAGAGCCCTCTGTTCTTGACTTCAAGTTCTCCAGTGGCTCCAGGATCCCCCGTGCTCAATCACCTTACCCAGTCCTGCACTGTTACTGATATACTTGAATGAAAAATGATCAAGTACTATTAGGACACAACTGTCTCTACACGTATCCAAGAGAACCTTTCATGATTCCCAATTTTCTAATTTATAATTTATCATCAATCAATACATCTCTGCTGACGGTACATGAGCAGCTAAACACAATGCACATTTAGGAGAACAGCAACACAAGTTCCCACTAGTTCCCAGTACAACACCAACCCCATAAAGGTTCTCATGGCACCTCATTGAAAAGTTTCATTAAGTACCAAGAGGGCTGGGGGACAGAGAAGGGCATTTCATAAACCCGGATGAGAATTATTTAGCACCTTTCGGACTCCAAAGGCCTTTAAAAGCAAAATCACATACAAGAGATCACTCAGCTTTAAAAGCAACAACTGTTTAATAAAACTCAACAATAGAATAAGCAAAAGAAAATACTACCTCCAGATGAAGCTATAAATCAAACCGAGGAAGAATGCTGTTATTGAGTCTGGAATGTGTCCAGCACGCTGGGGTTAACGTACCTAGCCTTGCCATCGTGCCTTTCAGACTAGCACCAGGGGTCAGAACCTCCGTTTTAGGTTTCATTCAGCAGATGGCATCCCTCGCAACACTATATCTTCTATTATTGGTCACAGTATTAGCACTTACACAATAGATCAAATTACCACTTAAGTAACTGGTATATTTCCCATCTCAGGACGGATTTTTATTATGTCGCCACAAATTCCAGAATTCTGTTTGCTCATCTAAGTAAAACAAACAGCAGATACAATTCACATGCAGAAAAACAGCTCCTAGAAATTAGCAATAGGTTTGTCACACTGAATTTGTAAATGTAGATTTGCACTGAACGCTTCCAGCAGCGCTGACAAACAGATGAACGTTTTCTTTACAGAATCTGTCCCTGTTCTCTCATTTACAGTCTTCTGTATCCATAAAATTCATTCACCTAGAGTGATCAATAGTCACTCTTTGTGCTTGGAGTACTGCAGTTACAAAAGATAGCTGGTCCACTTTGTGTTCCCTGTCCCACCCACGCAGGGAGGGAGGTGTAAGACTATCAGTGGGATGCTACCATGAAAGTCTTAACAAAAATGTTAAGTTCCACTCCACAGAGGCCATCCCCGCAGGACACACAGCTTGGTCAGTCCCCAGCTTCATCCTGACTGTGGTGCCCCACTGTAGCACACATCTAATGGGAAACATTACCAAGCTGATGCAATGCATGCTGCCGCTGCACCAGAAAACACCTGCAGAGCCTTTCCCACGCGCTGCCTTCCAGGAGCTGCAATGGACCCTGTGTTCATCAACATGGAGCGAGGCAGCCAAGGGAACTGCATAACAAAATTCAGATCAAGAGAGCTGTAAGCAAAACAATGCGTCATACTGCTTCAAGCAGTTGGGTACCCAGCACCGCACCCTCCAGAGGGGCCGGGTTCAGCCCCAGCACCCAGCAAAGCAGCACTCACCCACACAGCTCCATCCCACCATGCTTTGCACAACACAGCCATCTTTCTGGAGCCCCAAATCCTACAACATTTGCCCTAGGAAAGCTTCCTGCAAACTTCCAGGCCCTGTAATAAGTCCAAAACACTCAATAAGCTCATAGCAGCAGAGAACAATTTCATAAAGTGAAAATTTGAGCACGCTGAGGTTGCTACTCCGTGCCTAACAAGTTGCAGCACTTTTCCATTTGCAGCACAATGAATTCACCTGCACGCTGCTATGAACTAATACTGCAATATCCTGCAGAAAGGGAAGGCAAGCTGTAACTTCACGGCACAGAGCTACACATCACCTGCACCAAGATGCCCTCCAAGCAGAAAGTCCACAGATCGAGAGGAAAACGAAAACCTCTATTCTTATTGCTATCATTTTTTTTTTTTCCCCATAATCCCAATTCCTAATGTTGGAAAACATTCGAATTATCCAACTATGGGAAGATTTAAATAAAAACAAGGTGGGAAGTAGGCTGGCAGCACAGCCCCTCCCCCAGCACCCAGAACACCCACCCGCCATGCCAAAGGTTAAGTCATTTAGGCAAGTTCAAAGATCTTCAAAGGGCTCTTAGATCCAGATAAGCCCATATGTTACCAAAATTCTGTGAAAAGCTATTACTTTCCAATCTGCTTTTCATGTCTAACTTGCAGAACACACAGATGCTTGGCATCACTCAGTATCCCAAAATTCTCACACCAGATAATCAAGGCTCGCCAATAACTTCCCTATCTCAAATCCTACCAAACGTCTTTATTCCATCAACACTTAGTCCACTTGTAAAAATTGAAAGTATCCATAAAAGCCCATTCTGTTACTGCACAATAAGTGTTAATTTGCTAATTTCTTCACAGGTAATCAATTAAAATGTAAAATATTGGATAAAATTAGTTGCACTAAATTTAACAGCTGCTCCGTGAGCATAATTAGTTTCACAAGGGCCATATGTATTCTGAACAGAGACAGAGTTGAAACAAATAAGCAGATTTTAAAACAAGTTTGAGGAAATCTGCATTTAATTAGCAGGTGGGCACTACAACTGCATAATGTTTTTATACATTTATATTTATGAAGTGACAGAAGATCTAAAGGCTTTTTAAAATGGCGTTTATTGTTTGAATGGGAACTGTTTTGCTGCATGCTAAAGTGATTTAAATCCTTATAGCTCCGCTTTGAAAAAATCATAAATGGTGAAAGAAAACATGTGGAAAACTGTAAAACTAGAAAGAATTTGCGACAAAAAGCAGATACACATACCATAACCAAAAGGAAACTACACTTAATTAAATGTACACTACATCTGGAATATCAGCCTAATAAAACGTGAAACTATTAATTTTCATTGTTCTAAAGGAAATGAGGTCAGTGTCGTTTAGTATTTCCCCAATTATATTGCACTAAAGCATTGAGCTGTATCTTATAGCTACAATCTCATCTTTGCAAAACACTACGATCTGAAAGCAGCCACCGAAGCAGGCTTCTTCAATAGAGGAATTAGAATGCAAATGCAGGAAAGCTGAAATAAAGAAAAAAAGCATTTCTGCACTGCAAGTAAGGCTGTTTTGTTTTTTGTTTGGGGGGGGGGAGGAACAAAAACAATTTTCCTGGCAAATAACAACCACAGCTCCAAAGTTTCTGAGCTGTCAAGTGCTTTGCTGGGACTCTTTTTCCATCAGCTGGCACAACTCTTATGAGCTTATCAGTAGCTCAATAACCACAAACAAAGCCCAACAAATTCACGCCTTTTTAAGACTTCAGCAATATATCACAAGCCTGGAAAGAACAATGGAACAACTGCATTGCATCACGCCTGGATTGTCACACTGCTAATAGAGACACAGCACAAACACGGCTCATTGCAGCACAATGACATGTTCTCTTACAAAGCACGTCAAGGGAAGTTTTCCTGTTTAACTCAAAGCCACAAACACACAGCACAGGTTCTTGAGGAATGTGCAACAGTTTCAAGTATCAGCTGCAGTTGCTCAAAGCGTGGAAGTTAATAACGTTTTTAATTTGGACATGGATACCACTACAGAGCCCGTCTTATTTTGTCTGCAATTTAAAAAGGCATTTAAGGAAGTTAAATACAGACAATACGCTAATGATAACGTATAGATAATATGGCTTATATATTGCTGAAGTGAATGAAAGATGAAAACATGCACAAGCAGGGGGTCAGCTTTTAAGTCTGACATGAGACTGGCGTTAAGAGGAAAGAGACATTGCTTCAAGGCAGCTGTTCAGGCAGTCAGTAAGAGAAAATAGAGGTATTAAAGATAGTAACAACATCATCCACTGCGCTGGAGACAGGCAAGATGAAATATAAGCAGCAACAGAGAATCAGGAACACAGTTCGCAGAATGGCGAAAATGGATTCACCAGATACAGGCATCAACTTACTTCAGCAATAAACAGTTCTCCACCCATAAATCATGTTAATTACATAATTAAACATTTGAGGAAATTGCACTCAAGCTTCCAGTAAACTGTAATTAAAAACAAACAAACAAAGCAGTTACTGAAATCTTGGCATGAGGAGCACATAAATGCAGCAGGACAGCAGAACGGGCAGAAAAGACACTGCTGCTGGGTTTGGTTATTCTCAAGCCACCCCTTTGTTACCAGTCCCATCCTTCTGACTGCACCTCCTGGGCTCCTGCCCTCAGCCCCAAAGGAGGGTGGGATGTGCTCCCTGCCACAGCCCCTGGCCACCCAAAGATGCTGCACCGCCACTGACTGCGCACCTCGAGGTTGGTGTGTGCCCACCGCACTGCAGAGCTGTTGGGAAACCTACAGGGCATCCGCAACCAAGTGGAAAAAAAGTTA